AGAATGGTTGGATGGGGCGTGGGAGTCCCAGGGGTTTGTGTGGGGGTGGGGGTGTGGATGAGGGTTGGGGCAGTCAGGGGACAGGTAGGGGGCCAGTTAGGATGGGGGGAGGGTCTCAGGAGGGGGCAGTCAGGGGACAAGGAACGGGGGGAGGGTTGGGGGTCCTGAGGGGGGGAAGTAGGAGGGATAGGGGCGGGGCTAGGGCAGGATGGGGAGGGGCTAGGGCAGGACAGGAGCGGGGCTCCTCCCGTCCTCTTTTTTGCTTGCTGAAATATGGTAACCCTAGTCAGTGCCCAACCCACCACCCGGCAGCTGCCTGGGATGGCTGCTGGCCTCCTGCGGGGGCTGGGTTCGGCTCACGTACGCCCACGACAAGGCCGGGGAGAATTTCCTTAATGTTTTTCTGTTCGTTGTGATCACTGGCTGGGGGGAGACAAATCAAACCGCCCAATGAACGCTCCAGGGGGCCTGGCGAAGTGGCCATGCAGGGGGTTTATGGCCATTCCTGCCTTAAAACAATCCCCGAGCTGTGTGCCTGCACCGGGGCTCCCACCCCTTCCCTCCCACCCCTTCGTTCCTCTCTATCCAGCTGACATCTGCCCCCTCTGGGGTCTCCCAACCCCTCCTGCTACCCAGGGTTCCCCTCCCATCCCAGGGCTGGGCCCCCTGCCCTGCTCCTTGCTGGGGAAGGTGAAAGAGCAGAGGAGGAATAGGGAATCCAGGAAGTGCCCCATGGAGTCGAGGAGCTTCCTGTGGGATTGGTCCCAGCTGATGGTTATTGTCCTTTGTCCCCAGCGGTGTGGGGCAAAGTCCCTGGATACAGAGCAGCTCTCTTCTCCCACAAGTCCAGGAAGCCTCTTCTGCTCCCGAGCGTGGAATCTCCGGGGACTTGGGATCTAGGGATCTGCTCCCAACACTCCTGCAAGGTCAGCAGGTCTTCCTGAGCAGCGCTGCACCCCCGCTGGGTAGGTACCGCGCTGGGCAAGGGGACGAGGGTGACGGGATCACTGCAGTGTGAGCTGCTCTGGGTGTGGATCTGGGGGAGGGGGAGAGGCTGATCCACAGACACCCGCCTTCCCCTTCCAGACGGGATCGCAGCCCATTAGTCTGGGGAGCTGCTGGGAGCGTGGGGCATGGACAGGGCCGTCCTTAGGATTTATGGTGCCCTAGGCGGGATTATTAAACTGGTGCCCTTATGCCTGACTTGCTCTTAGCAGCACAAATATAAGCTGACAGTATTGGAAAACTTGCCACATGCACTTTATTAAAAACAGTTTAACTTAATTAAGCACACTGTAATGCTGGTGGACTAGCACTAAAGAAGTAGCGCTATAGAAAAAAAATCTGATTTATTGACAGAATGAAGCAAATAATATAATATAGTCGTGAGTCTGTAACTTTGAGCTAGTGTGAGGACACCTCCCAAGGCGCTCCGCCCTGACTGAGACACGGTAGAGTTGGAAACGCAGGTCATTTTTACAAAGCCACTTTTTAGTTTTAAATGTATAGTGGGCATCAGTCTTAATGTTAGTTACAACTCTCTGTCAACCTTCTACTGTAAATAGATCAATGGCATTATCCAGTTTAATAAGCTGGGTTTCCGAGCAGTGGGGAAATAGAACCCTAGTTTTACTCCTAGGTACAGCACAAAGAATGAAGTCAGCACAGAATCATCTCCTCTAGATTACGGTAGCACAGAAATGGTACACAAGTCCTATTGTGCCTCATTTTTGTTTGGAAAGACGTTAGCAATAGCAGCGTATTTTGGGCACTGCCAGAAAGACAGGATAAATCACTGCCTCTAAAGTTCCATCACAAACTGACATTTTCACAGCTCTCGCGTGATCTGCTGCACAGATTCTTCACAAGGACGTGTCCCGGGCGTTTTTAACTCGTATTAAACATGTATTTACTTTATGAAAGTTGGACAAAACATTGTGAAAACGTAAGACATTGGCTGCCCAGCCTCTGGCAGGGCCGGCTCCAGGGTTTCGGCCGCCCCAAGCAGCCAAAAAAAAAAAAGCCGCGATCGCAATCACGATCTGCGGCGGCAATTCGGCGGGAGGTCCTTCGCTCCCAGGCGGAGTGAGGGACCGTCCGCCGAATTGCCACCGAATACCTGGACCTGCCGCCCCTCTCCAGAGCGGCCGCCCCAAGCACCTGCTTGAGAAGCTGGTGCCTGGAGCCAGCCCTGACCTCTGGGCTGGCAAAAGCTTTACTGACTCACTGGGGGGAAAAGCAAGAGAATCTTAGTACAACAGATGGTCGCTCTATCCACTAGTAAGGAGACGAGCATGTTACAGGTGTTGGAGGCTCTATTCAGCAGTACCAGGGCTATAGGAAAGCCAGTCAACATTTTTTGTTTCTCTGATGAAAACTGGCCCACTCCCTGCCCCAAACCTGTCACAAATAATTGTCAACAACTTCATTTTCTGTTTTTGGCTGAGATATTGATTTTTTTTTAAATATTGAAATTGGATTCAGGATTGTTAGCAAGCATTTTTGGCAAACAAAGTTGTTAAATGACAATCTAAATGGTAACACAGTACTGCTTTCATGCTTGGCTCACCCCCAGCCTGCTGGTCCAACAGCTGCAGTAGAGGAGGAGATAGGTGGAAAACTGCAGGACCCCAAAATCCACCTCTTGGGGTGCAGAGTGCTGATCACACGCCAATGGGCACCACCACCAGCCCCACGGACCATGGTGAAGTTAGCCCAGCATCTGATCTCAGGGACGGGGCACCCATGGAGCCACAGCAGCGCGTCCTGCCCTGCGCAGCTCCCCCCTGGATGAGATGGATCGCTGCCAGCCCGGGGGAGAGACGCGCTCCCCAGCTACGGTGACCAGATGTCCTGATTTTTTAGGGCCAGTCACGATATTTGGGGCTTTGTCTTATAGAGGCACCAATTAACCCCCACCTAGGGTGACCAAACAGCAAGTGTGAAAAATCAGGACAGGGGTGGAGGGTTAAGAGCCTGTATAAGAAAAAAAAAC